GTTACTTCTGTTTTTACGGTAACTTTTGCAATAAAGTTAGAACTTTATTCTCCTTTCAAGTTTATTGTAAAGTTACAACTTTGTTTTTGTTATTTGAAAACTTTAGTCAAATAAGTTATTTCTTAAAATAATGGCTTGAAGCCCTGATATTGTAAATGTCTCCCTAATATTAAAGCCCTTCAACATTCACCAGCCAAAACATTCGAGAGAAAATCAATGTTTGTGACACGCTACTGTCAGTGAACTGTAATAAATGAAGTCAGAATATTGTCTGCTGGGACAAATAGGTCTGTAATAGAGAAACTAGAACAGAAAGGTCTAATAGAGAGGTCTGCAACAGAGAAGTCTGTAACAGATAGGTCTGTAACAAAGAGGTCTGTAATAGAGAAACTGGAACAGAGAGGTCTGTAATAGAGAAGTCTGGAACAGAGAGGTCTGTAATAGAGAAGTCTGGAACAGAGAGGTCTGTAATAGAGAGGTCTGTAATAGAGAAGTATGTAACAGAGAGGTCTGGAATAGAGAGGTCTGTAATAGAGAAGTATGTAACAGAGAGGTCTGTAACAGAGAGGTCTGTAATAGAGAAGTCTGTAACAGAGAGGTCTGTAACAGAGAGGTCTGTAATAGAGAAGTCTGTAACAGAGAGGTCTGGAATAGAGAGGTCTGTAATAGAGAAGTATGTAACAGATAGGTCTGTAATAGAGAAGTCTGTAACAAAGAGGTCTGTAATAGAGAAACTGGAACAGAGAGGTCTGGAATAGAGAAGTCTGTAACAGAGAGGTCTGTAATAGAGAAGTATGTAACAGAGAAGTCTGGAATAGAGAGGTCTGGAATAGAGAAGTATGTAACAGAGAAGTCTGGAATAGAGAGGTCTGGAATAGAGAGGTCTGTAATAGAGAAGTATGTAACAGAGAGGTCTGTAACAGAGAGGTCTGTAATAGAGAAGTATGTAACAGAGAAGTCTGGAATAGAGAGGTCTGGAATAGAGAGGTCTGTAATAGAGAAGTATGTAACAGAGAAGTCTGTAACAGAGAGGTCTGTAATAGAGAAGTATGTAACAGAGAAGTCTGGAATAGAGAGGTCTGGAATAGAGAGGTCTGGAATAGAGAAGTGTGTAACAGAGAGGTCTGGAATAGAGAGGTCTGTAATAGAGAAGTGTGTAACAGAGAGGTCTGTAATAGAGAAGTCTGTAATAGAGAAGTCTGTAACAGAGAGGTCTGTAATAGAGAAGTGTGTAACAGAGAGGTCTGGAATAGAGAGGTCTGTAATAGAGAAGTGTGTAACAGAGAGGTCTGGAATAGAGAGGTCTGTAATAGAGAAGTGTGTAACAGAGAGGTTTGTAACAGAGAGGTCTGTAATAGAGAAGTGTGTAATAGAGAAGTGTGTAACAGAGAGGTCTGTAATAGAGAAGTCTGTAATAGAGAAGTCTGTAACAGAGAGGTCTGGAATAGAGAGGTTGGAACAGAGAGGTCTGTAATAGAGATGTAACAGAGAGGTCTGGAATAGAGAGGTCTGTAATAGAGAAGTATGTAACAGAGAGGTATGTAATAGAGAAGTATGTAACAGAGAGGTCTGTAATAGAGAAGTATGTAACAGAGAGGTCTGTAATAGAGAAGTATGTAACAGAGAGGTCTGTAATAGAGAAGTATGTAACAGAGAGGTCTGGAATAGAGAGGTCTGTAATAGAGAAGTGTGTAACAGAGAGGTTGGAACAGAGAGGTCTGTAATAGAGATGTAACAGAGAGGTCTGTAATAGAGAAGTATGTAACAGAGAGGTCTGTAATAGAGAAGTATGTAACAGAGAGGTCTGTAATAGAGAAGTATGTAACAGAGAGGTCTGTAATAGAGAAGTATGTAACAGAGAGGTCTGTAATAGAGAAGTGTGTAACAGAGAGGTCTGTAATAGAGAAGTATGTAACAGAGAGGTCTGTAATAGAGATGTAACAGAGAGGTCTGTAATAGAGAAGTATGTAACAGAGAGGTCTGTAATAGAGAAGTATGTAACAGAGAGGTCTGGAATAGAGAGGTCTGTAATAGAGAAGTGTGTAACAGAGAGGTTGGAACAGAGAGGTCTGTAATAGAGAAGTATGTAACAGAGAGGTCTGTAATAGAGAAGTATGTAACAGAGAGGTCTGTAATAGAGAAGTATGTAACAGAGAGGTCTGGAATAGAGAGGTCTGTAATAGAGAAGTGTGTAACAGAGAGGTTGGAACAGAGAGGTCTGTAATAGAGATGTAACAGAGAGGTCTGTAATAGAGAAGTATGTAACAGAGAGGTCTGTAATAGAGAAGTATGTAACAGAGAGGTCTGTAATAGAGAAGTATGTAACAGAGAGGTCTGTAATAGAGAAGTATGTAACAGAGAGGTCTGTAATAGAGAAGTGTGTAACAGAGAGGTCTGTAATAGAGATGTATGTAACAGAGAGGTCTGTAATAGAGATGTAACAGAGAGGTCTGTAATAGAGAAATCTGTAATAAAGAGGTCTGTAATAGAGAAACTGGAACAGAGAGGTCTGTAAACCATAACGCCGCTGTGGTTCGGCCAGGCCGGGCGCGAAGGCTGTCAGCAGGTCAGGATACGGAGTCCTGGTGCTGGACCGTCCGGGTGCAGATCCCGCTGTGGGCCTGCCAGAACCGGACCGTGTGGTCGTACCCGGCCGTAGCCAGGATCACCGGGTCGCTGCCCACCGTCCCTTGGTTCACATTCATGCTTCTGCAGCTGGAAGGTGAACTCTGCAAAAGCTCAGACAGGAAACATTCCCGTCACCGGCGTCAGAAAAACACTATGACGTCACCACGTTTGATCCTAGCCAGCTTAGCTTCTAGAAAATAAGTAAAATAAATAACTGTAGCTCTGCTGGAACTAAAACAGTTTCTGATCAATAAAGTGTATTTTGTTTACATTACCTTCTGTTCTCGCTCCTGGGCTGGCACGGCTCCGTTAAATGTCCGTCAGAAACCTGAAACTGGGCCTGAAAAGTTCCGCCTGGATAAAACGAAGGGACACGACTGCCACCTGCTGGTGCATTACATGATAGAATGTGACGTCACAGACGGAGGGGTATGAGCGCCATCTTCACCGTCACAAACATTACCGGGCAAAACTACTGAATGGAAATTTGTGAAAACAAACACGGTGACTTAAATTCACTTTATGGTCCATGTTCACATTATTTACTGACTGTATCTAAGAATAACAAATATATAACTGAAGATATAACATAATACAATATGTAATATACAATAAAATACAAAGACTTAAATCTTACTGTTTTCGGTCATGAAAACATTCTGTCAACTCCTTTGCCTGTAGGGATTTTTATTGTCCAGCAGGAGTCAGTATTCAGTGACACAGTATCAATACAGTATCAATTCAGTATCAATACAGTTTGCTTTGGGTTAAAACGCTTCATGACGCCTCATTTACCCATCACTAACTGTTTGGTTGGGAAATGGACCCTAATTGAACCTCCAGCGCTGAGGAGGGAGAACAGCTGGCCGGAATCAGCGTCCATAAATCGGATCAACCTCGAGCTAAACGGCCCTGACTCTCCGGAGCGCGGATATCCAACATCCAACTTGAAAACGTCACTGCGGTACGTAGCAATGAATACACCTGAATACAGTTTGTTTGGGTCTGTGGTCGGGATGCACAGTGGCGCAGTAAGAAGTGTCCTGGGTTTGACTCCCGGCCCGGGGTCTTTCTGCACGGAGTTTGCTCCGGGTTCTCCGGCTTCCTCCCACAGTCCAAAAACATGACTGTCAGGTTAACTGGTCTTTAGGTGTGTGTGTGTGTGTGTGTGTGTTTGTGCATGGTTGTTTGTCTTTGTGTTGCCTTGCGACAGACTGGCGACCTGTCCAGGTGACCCCGCCTCACGCCCGGAACGCAGCTGGAGAGGCGTCTGGAGGCGCCTCCCGTTAGAGGCTGCATGACTGTAAAGGGATGTTACAATGTTTTTACTCACCAGTTTACAATGGAGATGAACTTACTCAATTTACTTCAAGAATAGTTAGCACGACCAGTTAACCAGGTTAACTGGTCGTTAGCACGCCGTTAGGGGTGCTAACGCAGACCCCGTTAGCACCTCCAGACCCCGTCAGGAGTCTGGAGGTGCTGGATGGATGTGTCTGTGGCCTTTAAAGATGGCGCCGAGCGACTGAGCGAGACGTAAACGTCACACGCAGCGACGTCATTTCCAAAGTTATATACCTGAACAGCTTTTAACAACTTTTTCCTGAATGGAAGATATTTTTCTTCACTTTCAACATTTTTACTATGGAGGACAAATACTGACAACATTTTACATTAAAATATAGAGATAAATAAAAGACCTGCTAAAGTATTGAGTGCGTCCAAAAACTGAAAAATAAAAACTTTTATGTAGTTCATATTATTTAAATCCTTTAATGTTCCATTTTATTTCTATGCTTATTGCTCAGTGAGTTTTTTTTTCTTGTTTCATTATTTATTATGTTCTGTATTAATTTCTATTCCTTGTCCCATTTTTATTTGATCATCTTTTTCTATAATTTCTGTATTTATTATTTTTAAATTTACTCACTTTATCATACAACAGTTTATTATACTTTCTGAAGAGGAATAAAAAGTTATTAAATTACTGATGTGGATGATAAAATATTAATTTGACACGCTATAATTAAACAAGTAGGCAAAGTTGTCATTTTGTTGATGTAATATTTCACAAATTACTTCGTCAAGCAATTTATTAACTTTAGTATTTATTATCAATTTTGGCAGGATTTGACCTCCATATTTTATAAGTAAAATTTTAAATAAATACAGGTCTGCAAACATAAATATTCTTGTATTTTTCTTTATTTTGACATGGAAATACTTTTTCAAACTGCAGTCGAATATTGAGTTCAATATTGGACACTTAATAAATACAATAAATATTGAAACATTTCACAAAATAGCTATGGATGCTTTTAAATAAATCATTTATTTAAGGAATATTTAATAATCTAACAAGCTGTCCATGCTAACAGAATAAATAGATTTAGATGAATAAGTTAAATAAATATTATCTGTGATTTTTCTAATTAGTTGCAGCTGCATCACTGCTCCTGCAGCAGGGCAGACATGCACTGCTTCACCTCTCCGGGGTCAGCCAGCGAACAGCCCAGGACCGAACCCCTCACCCCGCTCTTCATCCTGGCAGAGGGGAAGATCTGCAACACATCACCTGCCGTTAAACACCTGACCGGTCTCCATAGCAACACCAAGCCATGCCAGCGCTACCTTCATGTAGATTTTGCACCGTTCCAGCAGAAACCTCCACTTCAGCGCCGTCCGCTGACCGTCGCTCAAACCGACAAACTCTTCTGTCTGTAACACAGGAAGGGATGGTTGGTCTACTGGCGAACTTTGACCCCAGAAGCGTCAGTGAGGTGAACGCACCGTGCAGCCGAGGGTCTGCTGTGCCACAGCGCCGCGCAAGCCGCAGGCCTGCAGGGTGCCGGTGTGGTCAGTGACGTCCACCAGCAGGTCGAAAGCGGTGCAGGCCGCCAGCGGCCGCTCCCCGCCCGGACACAGCGGGTTGCTGCAGCGCTGCAGCTGCTGCTGCACCAGGAAGCGGCACCTGGCACTAAGAGGCAGAGCGGGTCAGCACAGTCGCCAGCAGAGTGGTGCATTCAGGGGCCGTCTGGGACAGCAAGTTGGAGTACCAGCGCGTCCTGACCACTTTGGACACGGATGAGTCCAGGTCCAGCTTGGAGACGAAGCCGTAGGTGAGGCAGAAAAACGGCTCGGCGTTTTCCCTGGCCTTCTCCTTCAGCTGCTTCACCGTGAACATGGCCGTGATGGACGACACTGCAACAAGACGCCGCAGTTACTTCAACATTGCACAAAATAGCTATGAATGCGATAAGACAGTGCAACAAAACATAACAGGGTGGACCAGGGAAGGCTCTTTGTTGTCGCCTCTGTTCGCGGATGTAGTTAATCTGTGCGTCAGATTAACAGGCGTACCACAAACACGTGGAGGGAAAGGTTCCAGTTTTGGACTTTTATATGTAAAATAAATCTGATAAATTGTGTCAATGAGCAGCGTCAGACTGGGACTGCCTTCACCTGTATGATTCCATTCTAATGAATAAAACTGCAAATGATGACTCATGAGGTTCCAGATGATGACAAATTCATATCAATTAAATAAGGAATGTAATTGCTCCTGAAACCCACCAGGTGGATCCTCCACAGCCTCGTCTTGATCCAGAGCTCCAGACTCTGACAGTTCTTTCACATAGCTGAACAACAAGCTGGCTTCTCTCGTGTCTGAGGACCAAAAACCACAGTTAGACCCTTTAAAACCTGATATGACTGGGTCTGGTTCTGATCACTCAGACTGTGTGGTTGTGTTTTCTCACCAGGGTTGACGGTAATGATGGTTTTGGAGCTCACCGTCGCCACCATGCTGCCGCGGAAGCTGTCAAAGCTCATCTTTGCATCGGCAACAAAGAGAACTGGAAAATAAAACCAATTCAGCGAATGGAGAGGCAGAGAACCCAGCAGCTGAGCCGAGAAGCAGCTGTTACCGGTTTCTCTGGGTACCAGGTTCTGCAGAAGCTGAATGGCCTCCCGGTCCCAGCTGGAGACAAACAGAGATAAATGATCATAAATCCCTGATCAGGAGGAAACGTGGCGCTCCCAAACAAACCTAATGAGAGGAAACGATGAGACGGAGTCATCAAACAGCTTCAGCTCCAGCCTCTGGCCTCTGCGTCCGTCTGAGGTGACAAACTGCTTCGTTTCTCCAATCTGACCAGAGGAAACAGAACGCGTCAGATCACAGCTGCTTCCATCCTTACTGGTTTCACTGTCAGCTTTAATATCCTGCAGGTTTAACCAAAAATGCACTGCAACCTGTCTGAGTGTACACATTAAAAAATACAAAAAAACAATTTGATCATCTGTAGCTAACAATCAACATAAGAAAATCTGAAATTACAGATCTGAGGTTGTAGTTCTTTTTAGAGTGTCTACACTCCAATTAATGATTAATTGATAACTAAATTAGTTGGGGATTATTTCAATAGGCCGTGTGATCTGTGATCTGTCCAGGTGACCCTGCCTCTTGGCGGTTGACCTCTGGCGAGCAGCACCAGCATCCCTCCCGACCCACCGGGGAAAAGCGTGGAAGACAATGGATTGATTATTTCAATAATTGATTTATCTGATTAATTGTTTCAGCTCATAAAATCTTGATTATAAAAAGATAAATACTCTGTTGTATTTAACATTTACTGTTGTAAGATGTCAGTGATGATTTTACCGATTATCGAGAAAAAGTTTCCCTCTGCATCCACCACCTGTCCTGCAATGCAGCTGAGGGCCACAGACGGCCCCCGAGCCGCAGCTTGGACACCCTGGTTTGGCAAACAGCTGAATCCGGAAGGCGGTGCCCCGTACCAGTTTGACGGCTGCCAGGATGTTGATGACGGTGCCGTCCAGCTGCTGGCCGTTGGCCACGATGTCGGCCAGAGAGTAGAAGTCTCTGCTGTCCTTCACTGGCAGGTGGAGCAGCGGCAGCAGCTGATCCACGCTGGCGCTGTCGACACATACACTCACCTGGGAGTGGGTCTCCGTCAGCAGCAACCTGTAGTGGCTGCAGCAGCACAAACCCTGCTTACATCATGTGTTATGACATATCACAGGAGTTTAAGGTCACCAAATGTCTCTGAGTCAGATTTACCACAACTTGACCCGCTTACCTCGGCGTTGCCGGGCAGAACTTGTCTCCTTTCTCCAGGTCTTTGGTGGAAACTAAAGGATTTTCAATGATCACTAAGAAACAAGCAAATAACAAAACTGTTAGAAAAGACATTCAAATAATTTACTATTGCATTAACGTTTATTTTTAGGGGTTGGTTTAAATCACAGTTCCTACAGATTTTATGTTCAAATTTGACACTTTTCCAGACATAAATGTTTGTAAAGTTCTTAATGTGTTGTTTAATTCATCATATAAACTATTACCAAGAATTCACCAAAGACAGTTATCAGTTTAAATAGTTACAAAAAAAAAAATTCCAGGAAGAAGAAAGAAAACATATAGAAGAACGGAAAGATGGAATGTAAAAAAGAAATAAAAACACTATATAAACACATTTTCTTTCATCATAACAATTTTAGACATAAAAATACAATTGAGTAGGTTTTTCATATTTTCCAAAAATAATAAAACAAAACCTTGTTTATAAAAACAGCCCATCATTACACTTTCAACAGAAATATTTGGTTTGTAATATTTCTACGTTACATGTATTTAACCGAGGATCCTGGCAAAGGAGCCAGCCGGTCGTCCTCACCGCAGTCTCCGATGCCGAAGCTGTCAGCCAGTCCGCTGACGAACGCCTCGCCGCCCCAGGCCGACACGTTGATGAAGAACTCTGCAGAGTCTCTTATGGTGAAGCCAAAGGTGAATCGTTCAATCTCAATATCTGTAACCAGAGGAGAAACAGATTTGATTTGTGCACTAGGTTTATAAATGATACAGGGATGACCAGCAGAGGGCGCTGGTGTTCAACACAGTCTGGTGAAAAGCAGGTCAGGCTCAGGAGTTAAAAAAAAAGACTTATACTGACTTTTTCTGTCGGGGAAACTTCTCACATCCGTTTTTCCAATGATGACCCCAAAGACTTTCTGGAAAACATTAGCATAGAGAAACAGAAAGTGGGAAAAATCTGTGGGAATTTAAACAATTAAGCCCAAATTACTCAATAAGTACGTCTGAAAGTACACAGCGTTCAGTAATAATACAAAGAGTAATAATATAAATAGTGATAATATAAACATTAATAATATAAACAGTGATAATCTAAACATTAATAATATAAACATTAATAATATAAACAGTGATAATATAAACATTAATAATATAAACAGTGATAATATAAACATTAATAATATAAACATTAATATAAACAGTGATAATCTAAACATTAATAATATAAACATTAATAATATAAACAGTGATAATATAAACATTAATAATATAAACATTAATAATATAAACAGTGATAATATAAGCATTAATAATATAAACAGTGATAATATAAACAGTAATAGTATAAACAGTATTTCTAGCTAATTATTAAGCTGTTAGCTAACCGGATGCGGGAGGTTTGGGTGAAGCTCGGAGAGGGAAATGTGGCTCTCAGAAGCCATTTGGTCGCTACTATATGGAAAAACATAATTGTACAGTCAGAATCGGATAAAGCGCACAATATATGTATAATACGCATTTATTTTTGTGTAAGATTTGAAAATAAAGCTGAATCTAACACGTTAGCTTTACCTAACGTAGCTAAAGCTAGCCTAGCAAACAAAAACATTCATCAATTATTTTCAGCTAACTTCAGTCAAAGACTCCTATGGATATTAAACAGTCATTTAAAATTATTCTGGTATTATAAATCGTTGTTTTTCACCTGCCGACGTCGTTTTTATCAGAAAGTTTAGTTTTACTTTTCGCGCCGTTGCGAACATTGGCGCACGCGACTGAACTCAGATGCTGCGTTCAATGTTGTCGGAAACAAGAGTGTCATTGTTGTTTGTTCTAAAGGGTGCGTTTAATTAATCTGATATTATGCATGTAAAAATTGACTAATTTTCTTGCAATACAAGCATTTCACAGAGGCGGGTTCACCTGGACGAGAGGAGGGGTCATCTGGGTGAGAGGCGGGATCACCTGGACGAGAGGCGGGGTCATCTGGTTGAGAGGCGGGGTCACCTGGACGAGAGGCGGGGCCATCTGGGCAGTGGCGGAGCCAGAGGGGTGGCCGGGGTGGCACTTGCCACCCCCAACAGACCCCTGGCCACCCCTAGTGCCACCCCACTGGAAATGGTCATTTTAAAATATAATACTTATGAGATCGGGAAAGATTTGCCAGGAAAACTGTAATTTCCGGCTGTCCCTGAAGGCAGCCCGATGCCCGACGCTGTTCATTGGTTAAACTGACATGTTGGTTCCTGCTTGATCCAAAACACATCAACGGCTTTAGAGTTACACCGTCAGGAGTTCTGCAGGTATTTCCAACATTTTACGCTCAGCAGTAACCGCTGTTACCTTCCTAATGAGAGGCGGCTCTTGTCATACATTTCTAAAAAGAAAACAAATGGTTGTGTACCGCTGCATAGTGCCTCGTTTATTATATTAGCCATGCTAGGGCTGATAGATCGTGTTTTAGACAGATTCTTTAACATATGTTTTAGTGACATGCTGCCCTCTAATGTTTTATATCTCCCAGCTCTTGCTTGAAATGTGTGGTAAGAATATGAGAAAAACCATTAAGTTTTATAATGACTGAAATGTAAGTAGGCTATGTCATATTAAAGCTTTGAATTATAACCTCACTAGTTATATTAATTAATTTTGAATGAAAGAAAACAAATATTTTTTCCTTTCGTTCCATGGAATGGTCCATTTGTATATGGACCCTCTGATAAAGCCTTGCTCACCCTTTGGCCCCCCTTGGAAAAAAGTTTAGCTCCGCCACTGCATCTGGGTGAGAGGCGGGGTCACCTGGACAGGTGCCAGTCTGTCCCAGCTTCCTTTGGGTCGGTGTCTACCTGAGTTTGAGTTTTAGTTTCATTGCTCTTTTGTTCTCTCTGAAGATCCTCATTAAATAACTCAGTTACTGCCTCTCCTCTCTGCTTTTGGGTCAGAACCTCAGCAACTGCAAATCATGACAAGAGGCGACACATTTTCCACCAAAGACTGGAGAAGGGTTTATGCTTTCAGCATGAAAGTCTTTGACATGTGAAAGATGTTTCTGGTCATGTTCAAGCCAGACGCTCCAATCGGTGGGATCAGGGCCTCAGTGGGCCGCAGACACCAACAACAAGGTCTTAGTTCCTTAAACTGTGTAAATTAAGATGTTTCACAAAAGCATTTTTGGTGATTTTTGCATATCCTGTTAAAGGCAGTGAGGGCTGCTGGGTAGAGCAGCCAGTTGCCTTCCAGACAGAAGGTTGTCGGTTTGAATCCCAGGCTGGGGACTCTGCATGGAGTTTGCATGTTCTCTCTGTGCATGTGATCCACAACTATTATGCAGCGATGAATAGAAGATTAAATATAGAAACAGTTGTTGATGTTTGACTTCTTTTCACCACTAATCGCTGTGTTCTTCAGTTTGCCAAAAGGTCACTCCTCTGGTAAAACTAAACTTTTGCAATTGCAGCTGGTTACAAAAAAAGATTTTAAAGTTGTTATGCAGCTGTTTTCCTGTCATAAATTTTAAAATAAAAACTTAAATCTAGTTTGTTTTCAGTGTTAATAAATTAGAGATGCAGAAGAAAGTCTCCACCCGGCAATGATCAGCGCCACAAACATTTATCAATGCCTCAACTTTACAATGAATTCCTGATCAGTTTAACTTCAGATTGCAGAGATGCTGGAATTGGTGCCCAGATTCAACCAAAGAAACTTTATTCATGTGATTAATTAAATCAGAACTTTACACATGATCAAAATAAGGTGATTTCTTTCTTCTCCTGTGAATAAGGAATAACAACACTGAATGTTTTCGTTACATTCTTTGCTTTCTACTCCAACATTAAAATGATCATAAACGGAGATGCAGATTTTCATCCCCAGGTTTTCTTGGTTAAGAGACGTGCCGTCATAGAAACATGAAGACATGAGGGCAGCGCTGAGCTCAGGCCGTCTGAACTGGACGTTTGGATCGTCTGGATCAGAGCAGAGCTGATGGAGGATGTTCCCTCTGACATGTTTCACTTTCTGTTCTCACGCTTTAAAAACAACGGAGCTTTTGTTCAAAACCCGGCAGGTTTCAGTTCTTTAATGACCTACTGAATCCAATTTGCATTATTTTATATAATCCGACTAATAAAACGTACTGTCCCGCACACAGTGAGCAATATCCTGGCATGGCGCGCCTCCACAGCCATATAGCAGTCGCTGGCAGGAGAGCCGCCGCTTTATTGGCTTCTCTGACCTGGAAGAAGTCCAGCCAGAGTCTGCTGTAATTTCCCTGCCACCTGCCTGCAGCTGCAGCTGCAGCTGCAGCTGCTGCAGCCTGCGTCCAGCATGCAGGCTTTGTCCCCGGGAGGCAGAGCGAGCCATGAATGCATTTAATGACATGGAGGACGGCCGTTCTGTTCTGGCTGAGACCCGCTTTCTGATCTGCTGTTTGATGATTTAACCGCCTTGTTTGGTGACTTTCGTTCTGTGGCAACTTGGCAGCAAGAAACATGACATTTTAGGACATACAGAGGAAACATTCTGAAACGACATTTACTCTTTATTGTAATCAGCACACTTACAGCATGTTTCCAGATTGGAAATATTTGAACATTTTAATCCAGACAACTTTTCTATTTCAGATATATTGAAATAATAATTGTTAGATTGACGTCACTGATATGTGAAGAAATTATTCTCTCAAGCCAAAATGCCCCAGATTTAATGAGCATTTAGAAACTTAAATGAAAAAGTGAAAAATGCTCCGTTTTCATTTTGCTACTGGGTCGACGGCAGCAGGTTCTGTTCTCCAGAACCAAACACACAAACTGCAGGAACGTAAACATCCATCAAAATCACAATGAGTCTGTGTCTAGTCAAAGTCCTGAAATGTAAACAGTCAGACAAAACCGATTTGATGTGAAACGACTTGCCATAGATGTGGGCTGAAAATAGCAGTCAGTGTTCCAACTACTCTGAAGAAGCTTCTGACTGAAGACACTTTAATCTTGTGTAACCACCTGCTGGAGAGGCTGACGACTTTTATCAGGAACCAGAACCTGAACAGAACCAAAACAGAACCAGAACCTGAAGCAGAACAGAAACAGAACCTGAAGAGAACCAAAACCTGAACAGAACCAGAACCTGAACCAGAACCAGAACCTGAACCAGAACAGAACCAGAACCTGAACAGAACAAGAACCAGAACCTGAACAGAACAAGAACCAGAACCTGAACAGAACCAGAACCTGAACCAGAACAGAACCTGAAGAGAACCAGAACCTGAACAGAACCAGAACCTGAACCAGAACCAGAAACAGAACCTGAACAGAACCAGAACCAGAACCAGAACCAGAAACAGAACCTGAACAGAACCAGAACCAGAACAGAACCAGAACCTGAAGAGAACCAGAACCTGAACAGAACCAGAACCTGAACGGAACCAGAACCTGAAGAGAACCAGAACCTGAACAGAACCAGAACCAGGTTTCTTTCTGTTTGTTTTGCTCTTCCTGTCATTTCCAGGTTCTTTGTTCTGTTTTTATTAACAGTTTTAATAAGGAATCTGTGACCAGTGAAGTTTTTATGTTTTCTAACCTGATTGCTGTTGGACGGCTAACGCTGCGTTTCGCTAACTGTTCATAAACGGGTCAACGGGTCAGAACCAGCGCCTGCCTTTAGCTGGAAACTTCTTCCATGTGGAACATGTTCTGTAACCTTTGACTGGCTGACCTCACATGGAACGGCGGCTCAGGTTGTGTGTTTTGCTCAGGTTGTGTGTTTTGCTCAGGTTGTGTGTTTTGCTCAGGTTGTGTGTTTTGCTCAGGTTGTGTGTTTTGCTCAGGTTGTGTGTTTTGCTCAGGTTGTGTGTTTTGCTCAGGTTGTGTGTTTTGCTCAGGTTGTGTGTTTTGCTCAGTTGTGTGTTTCGCTCAGGTTGTGTGTTTCGCTCAGGTTGTGTTTTGCTCAGGTTGTGTGTTTTGCTCAGGTTGTGTGTTTCGCTCAGGTTGTGTGTTTTGCTCAGGTTGTGTGTTTTGCTCAGGTTGTGTGTTTTGCACTGCGTTTTGCTGCGTGTGTGTCAGCTTTGTGCTGCAGTCAAACAGCTTCAGCAGCTCAGGGTAAAAACGCGGCTGATCTCCTGCTGCTGTCGGCTTCATGCTGTTCACACACTTTCTGTCCATTCGTCATTTTTACTGGGAAAGAGCCGCAGATGGATATCTTTATATTTTCAGCTGAACAGGATCCAGAGTTGCAGCAGTTCAGATTTTCAGATTAACTTGCTTTTAGTAAAAGTTACAAAAAAGAAATAAAATTAAATACTATTTAACAAACCAATAATTTACTAATAAGTAAACATGTTGAAGCCAATTAGACATAAGTACGCATACATTTACATTTACATATGTAAACTCACATGCATACATTTACCTAACAGTATAAGCTTAACTAATTTGACATTTTAAGGCTTTTTTCAGAGCTCATCATTTGAGATCTTTTCGTTGATGTCATGATTCGTGTTTTTCTGTTGTGTTTATTTGAGTTTTCTGTGTCCTGAGTCTCCTCGTTGTCCTGTCTTCCCCTTGATTGTTCCCAGGTGTGTCTTGTTCCCCTGATTACCCTCAGTGTATTTAGTCCCTCCTTTGTTCCTTGTCGTACCGTTGGCGTTTTGTCCTATGCTGTTGCATGTTTCCGCCCGTAAGACCAGTTGCTGCCGGTGTTGAGCCCTGGCTTCCGCTCAGCCGAGCTGCCTGGCTGCGGACCACTCTGTTCACTGTTTTTGTGGACACCTTATTTATTAAATTTCATTA